CACAGGGCGAGTCCCTTACAACCGCCAGCTCCACGGAGTTCCGCCGGTCCGCCCGAGAACCCGCCGTGTTTCGTTACAAAGTGTCGAACACGCTCTTAGCGTCCACGATCGAAAGTGCGCTGGCCTTCTCCCGAGAGAACACTCCGGGGACATGATCACAGCAAAGGGCGAGGCAGCAGCGTGCCAGTCGGGACGATGGACGTCCTCGTGGACATAATCCCTTCATAAAGTCTGAAGCCACTGAGCCTCGGCAGTGTCGCTGCTGAGGGACAGAGTGTCGGCCGCGACCGTCGAGGCCACGACTCTCTTCAGACGTTGGGACCTCCAAGACAGCAGGCTCACACGTGATCTGACCTTATTTCGAATTCCGGCATCGGCGGCGAGGACAAGAAAGGCTCCCAGGGCACCTTCCCGCTTGCCACTCCCAGGACCCCCAGCCTCGGAGTCGGTCACGAAATTTAGCGAGTACGGATCCAGTCCCCAAATCGTCAGTCGCTGAGTTGCTGCCTCCTTCAAATACCTGCATCTTTTGATCAGCATCAATCCATCGGCCACCGACGGATTGGGCATCGCAGAAGCAAGCAAAGAGGCTCCGCCTGCCACGTCTGGGCGGGACTCGAGCAACCCACAGAACTTGGGCGATTATAGCCCTGTGACCTTTTTTTTCTGACGGGGAAAGGAGGTCCTCCGGGCACTCGCGGAGAGACTTGTCCAAAAGCAGACACGCCAATCGTTCCCTCTTATATATATATATATATTTCTTGATCTATCGTGATCCTATCTGGGAACTGCCGAAACTGCCTGCCCCCATAGTCTGCCTCAGTTTCCTTCCACTTCCCGAGACGAAGTCGAGAAGGCAGTCGCTTGTGAAACCCTGGAGTGAACTCGCCGCGTCCAGCGATGCTAAGATCGTCCACTTCAGGCAGGACCAGGCCCTCGAACGGCTTGAGCTTGTCACGCCCAAGCCAGAGGCAGGGCTCCAGAAGGGGCTTCACACACCCGAGGGAGGCCAGGTAGTCGGTGAGGGTCCCGTGGCACAGCAGGGGCGCGTCGTTCGGACCGTAGACGGGGACAGCGAGCTCTACCAACTGATCCGATCCGAGGAGGAGACCCCGACAGGGCTCGACGCAGATCGCGCCGTTCGGACGCCTTAGTTTCTCGCTCTGGCGCAACACGTTCTCAGCATCGGCTGCGTCAAGGGTCCAGCGAAGCGAGGCCATGATCTTGGAGCGCAGTAAGAGCACTCTCGGTTTGTGGCGTCGGAGCGGGCATCCTCAAGCTCTCTCCGTCCCGGTCCTGGTGTCTGTGCACGCACCACCTTGACTTCGCCGCCGGCTTCTCGCCCGCGCCTTCCACTGGCTTCCTCCGTCAGACCATGCGTGGCGAGAGAATTCTGTCGGTGTACCGACGCTTGACAGCTTGGGCCTCCTCGGCGGAGAGAACTCGCACGGCTCCAGATGACGCCGTGGCCTCCCATTCTTTGAGGTCGGCTGACTCGAAGTCCCGACGCTCGTCGGGGGAAAGTTCTTGCCAGCGAGCCTCAGCCCCTCTGGGATTCGATCGGGCGGGGGGGCCTGCGAGGAAGGAGGGCTCCCCGAGACAGTCGAGATCAAGCCAAAAAGAAGAAGGGGAGCGGCCTCCAGCCAGCTCGTCCCGCTCCCGAAGCTCGGAGATGAGGGCAGCGTCCTGTTCTTCGCCGCTCTCGTCCCAGAAATCCCGTTCCACCTCCTCGCGCAAACTCGGCGGCTCGACATCGGGGGCCCCGGGCTTCTCAAACATGTTCTGCTCTTCTGTGCCTCGCTCGCCGGAACGGTCGCGGGCGCGAGCGGCCTCCCTGACTGGATCCGGCCCCCGGCCGCGGGGGCGCTCGGGCCCGACGCGCTCGGGCCTCGGAGCCCAAGTCGGGGTCGGGGCGGCAACGAGAGGAGAAGCCTCTGGAGAAATGACGGACTCGAACTCCCTGATCCCCCGGGCCACCGTCGACTCGGGGGAACGCGCTGCTTCAATCGTTGTCAACCTTGGTCTTTGGTGTGGGGGCTCCTCCGTGGTCTCCTCGGGCCTGGGGGCCTGCGGAGAGCCTGGGGCGACGGCCCCGCGGGCGCCCCCTCCGGAGATGACTCCACTGGCGACGCCAACCTGGGCGGAGATGGCCCCTCATAGGGGGCTGCCGTGTTGTCGGAGCTAGGAGTGGCAGCTCGGGGCCGGGGGGGGTTCAAGGCCGCGGTCGCGGCCGCGCCGGGGGAGGCCGAAGGCAGTGGCTCATTAGACATCACGCGGGCAGCAGGGTCGGGCGGGGCCTGGGCGGCAGCCTCTGGGGAGTCAAACGCTTCACGGGGCGGGGGGCCTTCCGCGGCGACGTCGACGGCTCCTGATCTCCAGGCAGGATTCCGGGCGATCCGGCAACAGATCCGGACCGGATTTGTTCCCGAAGTTGGTCGAACGCAGGACTCTCCAGCAACTGGGCCCCATCGTTTCGGGCCTGGTAGCTGGCCGGACCTGCTCTGCGGAACATTTTAGCAGTCTCGCCTTCGTGGCCGCCCAGGCCGTGCCGCCAGGGCCCCCGGATTGGAAGACAACGACCCCGGGGCCCGTCCAGCGATCGCGCTGAAGCGAGTGGGGGCGATTTGTTAGAAAAAACGCACACGCACTGGCCAGGATGAAAATGCCGATCGACGTGTCGACGGGCCGAGGCTGCCTCGGCCAGTCTGGAATGAGCGTCTAGGCAAGCCAATACTGTCCGAGCAGCCTCTCGGATGCGGCGTTGCCTAGCGAAAGCGGCGGTGGCAGTATCGCTGTCGGCGGAGCCTGGCTGCGCATCCTCCGAGCCGACCAGATCCTGGCCGTCATCGGACAGCAGACTTCGCGGACGCGGATTCTCACCAAAAACCAGCGGGGGGCGACCACCTGTTCGAAATAGTATGTGTGGTGGAGGTGTGCTTTCCAGCACGGATGGACATATTGAGCCTATTACTCGGGCTTTTCGATAACGCAGATAGACAATTAAGGGGCGAGCAGATCAACGCAGAGCAGCACGAGCAGAGTGGCACGAACAGCGAGCACATCACGAACATCGACGATTGAATATGTACACGCGAACTAGCTGATGGCACACCTTGAGGGAGCACTTTTTCGATTGTTAAGGGGCTTTCCGTACGCATTGCACACGTGCGCGGCTTGCGTAACG